TTTGGGAGATACCCAAGTCCTGAGTTATCCCACAAATTGTGCACTTGAAATTGATGAGTTTGTTACAGCTAATGATTCCATAAGCATTTAATTGTATTTTTGCCACGATCTCCAAGGTTGTCCGAATTATTTAAATAACTGAAGGGTGAATGTAGTAGTGCATGTTCAGCAGTGCATCCTCTGCAACACCATTTCAAGTGAATGGGATATTAGGACCAAGTCAAAGAACTTTAGTTCCTCTATTCAGGTCTATTACCAAGATGTTTATCAATCAGTAATGCCATAATTAATAGCAGGGAGGTTGACATCTCACTTGGTGGTATGTTGCAGTCTGTGCATCTGCAGATTCAACACGATGGCAGTGCATCAAGTGTATGTTGCTGTTGCAAAGGATATATAGGGATTATAGAGTGCAGAGGGTAGCTTCCCTTTGGAGTTGTTTGTATTCTTCAGAATGCGTAATGCCATGGATTAATGCCAGTTAAATCAGTTTCAAAGGAAGCAGCTGCCTCAGGGTTGTTGAATATAAGACAATTGCTGTGTTTCAGTTCTGAAACAAAATCAAGATTGTACTGTTTTCTAGTAGAATGATACATACAAGAAAAGCAAACACTATATTTAAGATTTGGGTTATGCATTCAGCCTTGTAAAAGTTTGTCAGTATCTTGACACTGAAGAAGCCTGGTATTAGCTTAAATATTAATGTAAAATGTGTTGGCACTTTTCAAACTCATTTTAGATAAGATCTTCTTTTCTGGAATTTTACAGAAGTTTAAGTGAGGTGACATCTTGAATTCAGTCAGACAGGATATTTTAGAATTTCCATGCATTTAACGGTCACGAATACATTGGGCTGGATCATGCTTCTGCTTTTTTGTCTATGAACAGCTGACAAAATCTCAGCACAGCTGACAAATTTTGGCACAGCTGACAAACCAAGGCATTGGCAGTCAGTCTGTCCCTATTTACAATGAACTACTTAAAGCTCTAGCTATAGCTGATTGCTCCCCAGAGTATTATACACAAGCCTTAATTTCTCCATCTCATTCCTGTGTAGAGATTCATTGTTAGCTGGCAGTTAAAGCAATGTACAAGTCAGAGGGAACCTTGAGAGATATGTGAGTTACAGGAGGCAGCAACTGGTGTAGCAACTGGTGCGCGCTTGTGTGCTGGAGGCAGAGGAGATCACTAGGCTGCTCTTCAGACCTCTTCTGGTTTTCCCTGCTTTCAAGACCACCTGTAATGTTTCCTGGCCAAGATGTATCTTCCTCTGCCTCACTCTTCTTGTAGGTGGAAATCCTTTATTTGTTCACAAATCTGCATGGTCAGAAATATCTAAGGCAGATTATTAAGAAAGAGAATCTCAGCTTTTAGAACTGTCTCATTACCACCAATAAAATAATATGTTCAAACAGCACCATACGGAGGTGTATCAGAACTCGCAGAAGAGGATTACTGTTTTGTTTCAGAAATTACAAGAGGTAGTTCATAATCCAACCCACGAACTAGCGAACACTCTCTTAGGATGGCTGATACTCCCTCTGAGTAAAAGCTAGCAGGGTTTCATGGTGGTTCTTCTAACAAACAAATAACTACAATATTTGAGTTGGAAAGACAAGAATGCTAGGTGTTATCTTAAGGAAAAAATATTTTTTAACTAGTTCAGCATCAGTAGTAGCAGTTGCAGTGAGAGATTTAATCATAGCGAAAATAATTAATTTGCTCATTAGTTATTCATGAGAAAGACCATTCCTCAGAATACCAAATTATGACACAGAGATTCTAAAATTAATAAATGAATTGATTTCATAGAAAAGGTCCTTCTAGAGAAAAGGGAGGACTTCAAAACATTAATTTCTGAGGATCAGTTGTGAGACATTTTTCTTAGAGGAAGTAAATGTTGCAGAAAGAACACATCTTTTCAGTACCACCTGTGTGACAAAGCTCAGGGGCTTTTCTCTTTGGAGAACTCCCTCTGTTCTTCAAGACCCCCAGCTTGAAAGTTATAAGATATTATGGCAACTGTCTCTCTTTGAAGGATTCCTTAGCCCCATTTCACTTTTCAGGGTGCTATTTCTTCTTCACACTCAGCATATGAACAGAACCTCAGATTAGACATCTATATTCATTGTCTGTTATGGGAAATTTAAGCAATCACCTATAAAGAACCACTTTAATTGCTACTCTGCTTTTGCTGACATAAATTCGCTTTTTATGTTGTCTCTAACGTTTGCTTGGTGGTTGCCAGTCACTGCAAATGAACTTCTTAGAGGAGCTAGATCTTTTCTCTAAGCCCTTTCAAAGCCAAGTCAATTTCTTTTCATGATGGCTGGATTTAATAACAAACAGCTGGGTCCTAGAAATAGTTGTCACTTATTTCACACAGTTTATAAGAAGAGAAAAGAAAATAGGTGGAAATTTAAATGATATATATCTCACGTAAGCTTCTAGAGGGAAAGCTGTCTCTTTCTACAACTTTACTAATTTCACCCTACTAATGAGTATCCAGGTCAGGATTATTACCGTGGTACTCCTAGTCCTAAATCTGTAGCTGCATAGGTGATCATAGAATCACTGAATGGTTTGGGTTGGAAAGGACCTTAAGATCATCTAGTTCCAACCCCCCTGCCATGAGCAGGTACACATTGCACTAAACCTTGTCACCCAAAGCTCTGTCCAGCCTGGCCTTGAACACCGCCAGGGTTGAAGCATTCACAACTTTTTTAGGCGACCCATTCCAATGCCTCACCACCCTCACTGTAAAGAACTTCTTCCTTATATCTAATCTAAACTTCCCCTGTTTAAGTTTAAACCCATTCCTCCTTGTCCTACCACTACAGTCCCTAACAAAGAGTCCCTCTCCAGCATTCTTGTAGGCCCCCTTCAGATACTGGAAGGCTGCTATGAGGTCTTCACACAGCCTTCTCTTTTCCAGGCTGAACAGCCCCAACTTTCTCAGCCTGTCTCCATACAGGAGGTGCTCCAGTCCTCTTATCATCCTCGTGGCCCTCCTCTGGACTTGCTCCAACAGCTCCATGTCCTTTTTGTGTTGAGGACACCAGAACTGTATGCAATACTCAAGTGAGGTCTCATGAGAGCAGAATAGAGCTTGCACTGCTGTACTGCAATACATCACCATACAGCAAGTGTCTGAAGTCCTGTGTAAATGGGGAAGTCAATGGGCTGCAAGATGAGGTATGACTTAGGAGCGCTTCGTGCACCTCAGTCACTGCCCCAGGAGGGCTAACCCTTAGTTGGCTGGTTGGCATTCTTTTCATGAGAAGTTAGGTTGCTGTTGAATTTTTTTTATTGGCTACATTTTGTGATTCTATGATTCTACAAATTACTCTAAGAGCTGCCAACAAATGCTGATTGTGAACCTTTCTCTCATGTGGGAAGGCAAAGACTGAAGTGTCAGTGTAGGATCTCTGTCCTGTGACGTAATACTGCTGCCTGTGGACTTCAAGTCTTATTAAAGTTAATTTTTAGATGTCAATTTCATTTTACTCCATTGCTAAACAGATAAGCCTCTCAAAAGCACTACTACAGAGAACCAGCCAAGAGTTAGTGCTTTGTATCTTTCTGCAAAAAACCCTTTTATGACAGGACTCTGTACGCAGTACAAACATTATTTCTGTGAGGTTTCTGTTCTGACGTTTGTAGCACTCATGGCTGGGATAATATTATTAGAGCTAATTGAAGGAGGTGGGATGTGATTTCTCCTTACCTGGCCACCTTCATTGTGATGCTATCTGCATAAAAAACAAGAGTAACTTTAAACTTTTATTCAAAGAAAAAGAAAATACAGAAAAATATACATACAGTGCAAGCAGCAAGGTGTTCATTATTAGGGAATAGTGATTTTGATATTCCCTTGTATTTCGTTATCATTAAGTTGCCACCATCCTCATCCTGGAATAGTGATTCTGTGCTGAAATGTTACAGTGAGCTAAGAATCGTTTTTGTTTCATGAAAGTCACAGGATGAAGAATTGAAGTGGGGAGGAAGGAACCTCTGATCACTAGCTGTCTCCAGAAAGATGGGTGAAAGTTAAATCCCTCATAATACCATAAGGGTAAAAATAAAGCCCATGAGTTTGTGTGAAGCAAACTGTAAAATAAATGCCTTCAGTTAGGTGAAGATAAGTGGACCTCTGTCAAGATTTGTGCCAACTTCATAGCAAAGCATACATCAGCAGAAAGTGCCAGTAAAGACTGAAAAAAGTGAAATGCATGTCACTGAGAGATTGGGTTCCCTTGCCTGACAGGATATTACTTCAAAAATGGTTTGTTGAAATGGGATATTATGTCTTTGCATTCTTGAGATATGTCTGCAAGTGAAGCTTTCAATTTCTCAAAACTAACAGGTCTAGGGATATTTTCTTGTTTCCTCCTTCGGTGCCCCAGAATATTGTACAATGCTGATAATATATTTCAGGTTTACTGTACAGTATTTTTAAAGAAAAGTTGTATTAAACTGGATTACATAAAATATTTTTTAGTACCTTTGTTTACTGTTCTCTCTTTCGAGATAATGCTAGATTGTATAATAAAATCTAGTTTGATATTAATTACATATGAACATCTCACCAAAAATCCTCTTTTTTTAAACACCTGGTATTTCTGCCTGCATAAGGATAAAGTTGTTCTAATGTCTTAACAAATGCAGTACTACTAAATACCCAGACACCACTGCTGGCTCAGGAAGTCCGAGAGCTGCAAGTGGGAGGCTGCAGGAATTTGATGGGGGGTAGAGTTGTATGATTGCCTTTTAATTTTCCCTAGGCTTTTAGTCACAGAGACCTTTTGGTCTGACTGAGTGTTGCTGCTCATAAATTAATGATGACCATAAAAGCCTGACATTAATCCTTTCAAGGCCAAGAGTTCAGGTTGAGGCTAAAATCTAATCTACTAAATCCAAACCCTGCTTTTATGTTACTTCTTGCTACTCTAATTTTCTGAAATAAATGCATTTATACTGATTACTACACCTCCTATTTTTTAAAGAAATGTGTATCTTATGCCTTGCATATGAGTTTATGGCTGTCAGAAGTTTGTTTCTAAGCTAGTTCTTCCTTTAGCTGCACACAGGTATTTTCACTTCATTCTGATCATTCATTTAGTGCTCAGGGGTGGAGACTGATCATCATCCTCCTTTTCACACTGTATTTTACATGTGGTGTGACTGTTCATTAATGTAATGTTAAGAAACACTGTATTATCCCTAATAAAAAGTCAAGTTAGAAAAGGAATAATTCAGTTCAATGATGGCACAATAAATGGTCACGTTAGAAAAGCAATATAGGTTTGCTTTCCTTCATAAAAGTAAATCTAAATTTCTCCTCTTTGATCCAACATCCAGTTTACAGGTTCAGGATTGTGAGCCCATTGAAATATTAGGCTTTTAAGACAAACTAGAAACAAACTCCTCCTTTTCAAAAGTTAAATTCTACTGGGGCTGATTGTTTTGCATTGCTATAGGAACACTGAATGGAATGAAAAAGATCAGTGGGTTTTCCAGACTGTTATCAATCAGTATTCAAGTGATCTTCACAAGAGGACGAAATTGTGCCTTGATGTGCTGCAGAGATACCTTCCTCACAAATCTAGGCATGATCTGGTCAGTATTGCTTTAAAAAGTAGCTCAATTATATAAATTCTTACATAAATCATGTAGTGAACATTTGTATTACAGCATGTTTATAAAAGTTTTTTATTTTAAAATTTCTTTATTATAAATTGTATTCTACACAGTGAAGAAGGGATGCCTCTGTCTTCAAAATACATGAACTTAAAGCCCTATCACTTCTCCAGAATAAGCACTGTGGAGATTTTATACTTCTACATACTCTTACAGCCAAATTCACAGAATTAGTTTGTTAGCGTTGCTTTTACTGTACAGTTTTATAGTTATGTCACGCTATTCTGCTTCTCTTGGTATTTTTGGTTTTTGATGAGGATGTATAGCATTGTCGCACTGTCTAGGAATAGTTATTTTAATTGGTCTGTGGCACATATATAGCAGGAAGAGTGGAAAGTTATCTCCTGCTCTCAGGGAGAGGCTATTTTTACATGCATAATGCCTTTCAAATTGATTGCTGATCCCTTTTACACTGCACAGTGAATACGCACAAAGCAGCTAATAGCGAAACCCATTTCAAGGCCAGAACTCTTCAGGATGTCATAAGTAAAGTAGGATTCTTTTTTTATTTCTGCATGTATTTTTAGACCATCTACTTCACTGTGTTTGAGGAGTGCCTAATGCAAGGCAATGACAGTGAACTGATACTAATAATTAGCACAGTTTCACAAAAATTGTATTTCTTGTGGATTTCAGAACTTCTGCCTGTAAGAACTAGGCTAAGTATGTGCTTTGTACATTGTAAGTATATTTTAAGCATAGTCATTATTAGCGGGTCTCCCTAATTCTTTGAATGTTCATTTTCAAATTTTAAAATTCTAAATTTAAAAATCATAATTCTGCATTGAATCAATACCTCTTAGTATGTATATTAGCATGATAAATACAGAAATGTTTAAACAGTACTAAGAATCTGTTCTTAAAACATTTGTGTTATGTTAGAATACTAAACTTAGACCCTTCTGTGCCTCCTTATGTCTGTAGACAACTGGATGAGTCCTGAGTGCTTGATTCTGTAGCAGATCACAGAGGTCTGTTTTAGAAGCGCAAACTCCATCCCATTTCTTGCTTATGAGTGTCTCAGCTTTACGTGCTTGCTAGCGAGGCTCACTCAAGTTTGGGCAGCAAAAAGTGTGAACTTCTGGTGTGGTGGCCTATGTGCATTTGATCAAAGAGAAGCTATCTTATCTTCGTCCAGCTATGAGCTGATAGGAATGTCTCTGAGCTGGGCACCAGAGGAGTCAGCGT